GGCTGCTCACACCCCCGGTTTCTCCTTCCCTCCCTCCTCAGGCTTTGGCAGCTCCTCTCCCAGGTAGGCAATCCTGCTGTAGGCAGGCAAGCTGCCAATTTGCTAATCCAATTATGCAACACGAGACCTGAGGGGTGCATCATTTGTGAAAGAATAGGCTATTTTCCTTATGTAGTTACCAGCCAAGTTACCTGCCTGAAGAACATGAAAGTGCTGGTGTAATCACGACCTTGAGATAGTAGGTCAAAGCGAGCTCCTTCCTGCTGATCACCCCAAAAAAGTGGCTTCTGAGGGCAATATGGAGGAGTAAGCAGCAGCTTTAAACCAGGCGGGGGATTTTGGGGAGACGACACATTAGCCTAATTCTGAGTCTGATGAAACCAGTCAAGTTTAACCATGGGCTCTGACGGAGCAACGAGGCGAGTACGTGTCTGCTTGCCTGCAGCCTCCTGGAACCACACAAAACACATGAACCACTTCCTAGGACTTCTCTCAATAGTTTGGGGAGTTCAGTCATTTGATATAATCTCCACCCCTCAGAGATCCTTTAACCTGCTGGAAACAGGCTGGAGCCTGAGGTCCTCCAGGCCCTGCGGAGGGACTAGGAGCCAGCCTGGACGACCCCAGCGGCTGCTCCCTGGAGCTCTTCCCCACATCACCCCCCTGCAAAGGGTGGGCTGGCAACTGAGCCGCACCAGCCCAAAACCCATCAGGTGCTCTGTGGCTTTCTAAAGCCTGCTGCTAGTTAAAACGAACTCTAACCCGAGTGGGATTTAGGAGGCACAACAGTGCAGCTGCTTTCTTGGCACCTTCCAACCTGCGCCCAGCTCAAGGTGCTCTTCCAGCCCCAGGCACCGTCTCCTCCTTGGAATGAGAACAGTCAAGGAACTTGCAAACCACTGAGCACAGCAATCTGCTGCTGTTGCTACCACACCGCGTGAAGAGAAAGGGCTGTTAGAAGGCTCTTCGAGGCAAAATGTATCTATTCCCCTTTTCCAAGTGTATTCTTTCCTTTGTGGAAATGTGCAAGCGACTTGCGTTGTGAACCAAGCGTTTCACTCTCCTGGAGAGCACAGTGGCAAGGGTTTGTGTACTATTAAAATGGCTGCATGTGTGATTTGCAGCTAGTATCTGGGTTTCTGCTCCCCGCCTCCAAATTTTGGTACTTTGAGAAAAAATCTGGAATGACAGCCACACCTCTGCAAACCATATCATCCTAATAAAGCTCTGGTTAGAGATGTAGGGATGGTCCCTTCAGACAGATGTATTTCCATATATTTGCATGTCTGTATGGTGGCCCACAGCTCTTCTGTCACCACAGCTTAGTGGTTCAGATGGCATCAGCAATTTGTTTTTAGTCAACAGCACTATCGAAACCAGCTTGCCAGGAGCTAATTGAATAATGGAAAGTCATTTTCCCCATTTCTACAAAAAAATCCCTCCATTTAGGCAGCATTATTTGGAGCCAGTTCTGCTACTTCCAGTTGTGCTCCAGGGAGCCGGATCACTTCTCCCGAGCTCAGCAGCTGTTCATCGGCTTCGTCTCCCAGTTCCTTTCACTTGCATTAACGTTCACCCTGCGGTGCCAGATGACAGGAGCTTTAAGTGCTACCTGTTGCTCTGTATTATCCCTCGTGGGGTTTTGGAACCTGTCCCAACCAGGGAAAGAGCAGAGACCTTTTGATTTTTGGGTCAGGATACAAAATGCCACAGCTTATTGGAAGAAAGGAAGGGTGGAGAGGAACATCTGGCACACTGGGAATGTCCCCTTGGGGACAAAGCTTGAGCATCGCTGCTGCACTCGGACACTGCCACGTAGCAGCATTTGAAATCTGAAAGCCATCACTTCATAAATAAATTTTAGCAAGAACCTGCACTATTCTTCTTGATACGCATTCTTCCTTTGTAGTAACTCCATGATTTGTCTCTAAAACCACATCCCTGACTCGCCCGCATTGGGATTACTAGTGGAAGGATCACAAACTGGGGTGACCTCACATCCGTGCAGCGTTTAAAGTCACTGAACACTGGGCTTTGATCGCCTGCAACTACAAACCAGACCTGCACAGAGCCTCAAGGCACGGGGCTGGAGCGCAGCTCTGCCTACATCTTCCTCCCGAGCCCAGTGCCCCCAGCCACTTCTCAAGGAATGAGTTGATGAGAAACGTCATCTCTGAGGACAAGAGAGAGATGGTGGCTTGCATAGCGGATTAGCCAGACCACCACAGCCAGTTTTTCAGCTTGTGGTCATACCTGCCTGCGTATTTTAACACAAACTTGAAGGAGAGACAAAATGCCACCCTGTCACCATTGCAGTAGGGAACTTAACTCTGACTTCAGATTTTCAGGCTCTTCGTAGCAAGCCTGCTGAGTTTATAATGTTTTCTTTAATTAAAAAGTAGCCCTGAAACTGCAGCTTGAACCCCTGGAGTCAGAATACATCTGCTCCTTCTGTGGTCACTACCCCAGCAGAAGAGCTTTAGCGCAGCACACAAACCACTTTTGTAAATACAGTTGGTAGCAGAGGCAGGTTCAGTTCAGCAAACTCTAAACCACAACAGCAGCAGAGCTCTGCCTGTTCCACTGCAGCATCACCAGGTTTACTTACTTTAGTTGAAGCCAGCTGAGATACTCCTCATCCTACAGAGGCTCCACGCAGGGCTTTTTTCAGCTCAGCAGTGAATCCCACCAGGGCTGAACCCAACCTCCCGAAATACTCATCACTGCTATCACAGGTGGTAATCACAGTTCTGGGGTCAGGGTGGAGCAGGGCAGGGCTGGGTTTTCCTTTGCTTTGCTTTTCTGCCCAACGCAGCTCAGGTGAAGGGGCCTCCTGCTGTATCTACTAAATCATCTCCATGCTGCTCCCGAAAGCCTGCGTTAGCTCCTCCTGCTGCTAGAGCTTTGGCCCTAAAGAGCCCGCTTTAAGGGTAAGAGTTAGAAATGTAAAGGCTGGACTGCGATGCCACAACGCTCCAGGACAGCTGGTCCCCAGGCAGCACTGGGAAGGTGACGTGTCCAAGAGCAGGCTGGTACAACAGGCACCAGGCTGCCTGCCCTGGCCAAGAGGAGACACTGAAGATGAGATTGTCCCCTAAATCCTGCTTCTCTTCGAGGTTTTCTGAGGTGGTTGCTGAGAATACTCCTGTCTTGAACCCTCAACAACCTTTTAAAACAGCCAGAGGAGGATTTTCATTCACGAGCTCTATGTGTGGAGAGGTCAGCTCCTCGCCAGCACACCAGGGGATTCAAGGTCTCCTGTCACAGGGGAGGGGATGAACCCCACCAAAGCTCAGGTGGGAAGGGTCCTACCAGTTCCCTTTCTCCTTTCAGCTCAAACTCTCCTTAAATATTCCCCAGTAATTAAGTAAGCTTATGACTCTTACTACATTTAGTGTTCTTTAAAGGAAGAAGGTGTGCAGAGACCTTGATCCGCTTTTTTTTTTTTTAATTTTCTTGTAGGGATTTGAATCTTTTTTCTCCTCCCTGCACTTAGAACAAGGCTGTGGATGCTCTTTTTCTCCAACCTAAAATCCAGGAAATAGAAGAGTGTTTGCTAGAAGGAACGAGGGTAGAGGCTGAGGGCACCAGCACAGGAGTTGGTAACACTTGAGGACACTTGGAAGTGCCTGGCTCCAAGGTGAGCAAGACCTCCCCTCTCTGGTGCTTTGCACAGGGCTAAACGTGGCACCCAACGTGCCCCCGGACAGGAGAGGGTGTTTCCACACCCACTGGTACCACCAACCGGCTGGCAGGAACCTGATCAGCCTCAGAGGTGAGGAAGCTGCCGGCACGCTCAGCCCCATCGGGAGGGAAGTTCTCCTTTGCACATCCAGAGCGGCAGTTAGGTCCCTGCCTCCCGAGTTGTTTAGTGGATCTCAAAGATCCTCCCAGGCACCGGAGCTGCTCTTGCTGCGGGTACGTTCTGCTGCTCTTCTGCACTTGGTGTTACGTCCCTCCGCACTGACTCTGCCCCACAGCAGATGGTCCCATCCAGGCGTGTTCCCCAGCTGTGAAGTCTGAGACTGTTGGGACATCAAAGCAGTTATTTATTATCTCTGTGTGAAAGAAACTTTTTATGTATGACCTAACTTCAGTGCCTACCTGTAGGGGAGCCTGCACAGCTGAACACACCCCACACAAACAAGCAAACCAGACACCAAACCCCTGGCTCATTTATGGGGCTCCTTCCTCCGCTGCCTTCTGAAGTTCTCAACTCCCGGTGTTTCGGGGAGGCTGCGCATCCCCCCGCAACCTGCAATCTCCAGCAGTGAAGCAGGGCGGCAGCAAAAGACTGAGCTTACACCTTCCAAAAGATCAGGCACTGAGGCCAAAGGAAATAAGGATGAGAAGTGGGGCCTTGAGCCTAGAAATGTAATCAAAAACCTGGGGAAGAATTTGGCACAGCAGTGCAAGTGCAGAGCGAGGCTGGAGCGTCCCTGAGCACCAGAGCTAGTGCCAGGTGCTGCCCGAAGCGACGACCAGTCTGTGCCGAGCAGCTCAGGAGGCACCGAGACTGAGTGACCTGAAGTAGCTCCTTCTTCACTGTAAAACCATCTGATCAAAAATCTGTCGTACATCAGGATTTCTACTTCACCTCAGCATCTGTAAAACCACTCTCACACCACCACGTTACTGCGAGGGAGAATTGAGGAGCTGGGAGCGCTCAGGATGAGAAGAGCTGCAAGGTTCACACTCCCCAGGAATCGATACACAGCTGACAGCATATGCATTATTGTACTTCTTCAAGAATATAAATATATAATGAGGATTTCCACCGAGAGGCCATACCTTTATTTATTTAAGAAACAAGTAATAACTTGAATTCTCCTGGAATCTCTCCACACAATGGATGCTCCAGGAGTTGACAGCGCTCAGATTCCCTGGCAGTGCCACGTTCAGAGCAAATTAACACGGCCTTAAAGGCCGGTTTCCAGACAACTCTCCCACAGGCCCGGGGTACTGGCTGTGAAACAGAACATGAGACATGAGGCATTGCGTGACATCAGGCAGCACACTGCTGTTTATTTGCCTTCCTTCAAGAACTCACTATTAGGCAAAGGAGTGCATACAAGATGTACAAGAAAAAGATTAAAAGAGACTTCTTTATCACTGTATTCTGGGGCACGAAGGCCCACAGCCTCTAGGTTGTTTGTTTTTTTTTTAAAAGGGTATGGTTTTGCTCTGGCTGAGGTGTTACAGTTCAAGAACAACCTGCTGTCTACAGGAAATCTCTTGAGAAAATTAAAAGTGAACACAGCTATTTGCTAGGCTGTTTTACCGAACAAACACTGCCAGCTGCACTAGTAGCATTTTACCAGACACTTGTCAGCTTGTGTAATCCCTAAGTTTATAAAGACAAGAGGAAATCTGACTGCAGAGTGACGGGGACAGGGAGAAGTGGCTGGAGTTCCTTCCCCCTCGCAGCAGATTCCCGCCTGCTGTAAACTCGTGTTTGTGCACTTCAGTACAGCCGGGATGACTTACAGCAGAGGTTCTGACCAGACAGAGAGCTCGCCCACAGTCCGACTCAACGCCTTAGTAGCTTTCATATGGAATATTAAAACCCAAGGTTTGTCTCCCGGTGTCCTTCACATGATGCTCTGTCTGTTGACGTCCACATTGTATGCGGATGAATTGGAACAGCCTCGGCCAAAATCAATAAAAATGCCTTCAGAATCAGAGTCAATCGACTCCAAAATCTGATCTACTATGTTCTCAGGGCTGGAAGAGGGAACTGGTATCAAGGAAGGGTCCCTGTCCAGCTCAAAGGACCTGTGTGGGTCGTCCATGGAGTGGAAGAGTCCTTTCTGCGGCTCCACGGTGCCAAGTTTGCTGGAGCACTGCACGGCGCCGGGCCTCTCCTGCTCTCCCGGCAGCGAGCTCTTCGTGGCTGTCATGGAGCTCTTGGAGCCGTTGTCCATGATAGTGGTGAGGTTGGAGTAGCCCTGGAGCTCCAGGCAGGAGGTCATCTCCGAGACGGAGTGCCTTCGGATGCCCGTTCCGTTGGCAGCCATGCCCTCGGTTTCATACTCGGCCACTGGCGTCAGCAGCGGGTTGTTGTAACTTTTCGATCGCACCACGGGGTTCTTGGCCAGGACGTCACCCGATTTCGAACGCCTGAAGAACCGCTTCTCTGTAAGCAAAGAGAGATCCAGAGTAATAGCTCCTGTTTTCCTGGTAGTAATAATTATGAGTGTTCAAATGAAAAGTCATGAATATTCATGAGCTTTTCTTGAATGACAGAAACTTTTATAAAAGGATACATTTTGCTGGTTTGGTGGATCCATAGGCTACAGGTTGCCTAGATTTCTTTCAATTTCTTTTAGATTTCCTTTAGATTTCTTTTTCTTTGAAGACCCCAAACTTACCTTTGCAAACAATAGCCCAGATTCCCTCACATTCTTACAACTTCAGCAGATGGAGTAAAGCAGCAAATATTGTAGGAGCCCTAATACACAACTGCAAGGACTTTCTTTAGACAAGAACAGAAAGTGCAATTCTGTTCTTGTTCAGGCTATAAAGGGCATCTCTGATATCCAGTCGTTGAAATTTAACTTTTCCACCCACCCTGGGAAAATCAAGTTTCTTCAAACCTGGGGCACCAGGATTAAGGCACGCAGTGTTACTAATAATTCCGGAAAAATTTCCATTCAAAGCATCGTTCAGAGACCACACATGGCAAGAGCACTGAGAGTGTTTGGAAACGCTGGCTGGCCGAGGGCAGCACCCAGAGCAACCTTTTTGGGGAACAAACCCGCCCTCCATCCGGCAGCGATTGGCTGAATGCTGCCGGTAACCAAGGGGGCTCTTTCCAAAGAATGAGCAGCAGGTGGCAGCAAGTCAGCACGGAGATGCTCCACCAGTGGGTTAGCGCGGGAGTGCTCCGCAGCAGCTCCATCTTTTGACCGTCGTGCCAACTTTTTGCAGACCCCGGTGCTCAGACTCACGTGTGCTAAAAATATACAAGTGGTGTGAACAAGAGGTGTCACTTTTGAAGCTTTCTTCCTGCCACTCTGCCTTTGCCCTCCCCACGACAGGGGCACGGCTGGAGAAGGGGATCAAGGTCACACTCTGGAGGTCAACCACAGCCACTCCGTGCAAACTGTCTGCTTTCAGTCAGGGTGCTGGTATAGGTTCCCCTGCAAACCACACAATGCCCTTCACAAATGCCAGTTTCTTCTAAAATTATAATTATGTGCTTACCTGGACCCAAATTCCAATCACATGCTGTACTGCTGTAACAACCATTTTCTCTACTTAAGATTGTATTTTGCAGCTGTGTCTCCCTCAGCCGTGAAATCAGCTGAGCCAAGTTCACTTTTGGACTTTGTCTTTGGTAGGAGTTTGACCTGGCAAACAGAAAAGGTTCCCGAGGGCTGCCCTGCCACAGGAACTCTGCCTTTTTGGTCACACCAAGGCTTGGTGGGAAGGGAAGGCTGGGTGTACTGGTTGGACTGGGAAGAAAGGAGGTCAGTGGCCTCAGCAGTCCCAAGGACAGCGTGTCACGGCTCTAAATCACGCTACCAAAACACCTGGACAGATCTAGATGGGTTAGGTTAACAGCAACAGAGACTTACGTACTCAGCTCCCTTGGATCCAGGCTCACTACGCTAAGACCTATTCAGTGGTGCTGCTAATGATCTACACCCCAGACCACAGCAAGGGGAAGCGCCCAGGCCACCAAAACCTTCCTATCTTCTGCAGTCGTGTAACACATTTATTTTCTAACAATCCGTTTCACCGGAGATTTATTCTCTTTGGGTGTATTTTTTTCCGTCCTGTGATACAACAGCTTGTATTCAGAAGACATCGATTTGGAGGTCCATTTAAATGCTTGTGGCCTTTTAATGGCAAACAATGAACACAAAGGAGTAATCCTGAGCCTTTTTCCATAAATAACCAGCCTCTATTTATTCGCATAAAACTGATTTGCTTCTTGAACGCCTACTGCAGTACAACCATTCTTCCACTCAGCTTCAAGGGAAAACCAACTACCTTATTGGCCACTTCTGACAAGCAAACAGATTAAACTGCCTGCATAGAAAACACACAATTGTACTTATTTTCCCCCATTTTCTCTGTTCAAGCAGGCCGTCGCAGTATTTACATTAAAATACGGAGATACTACCACATTTCCTTTTTGATTTACACTGGAGCATCCCCCTGGCATTTTCAACAGATTGAATTACCTCGTGGGATATTCAAAAGACCTTCACCTTGGCCAAATATTGCCTTCAAGGCTTCAGAGCTCAAAGAATCTTGGATAATAGGCTGGAAGGGACTTAAGAAGGTCACTCACTCAGCCTCGGCCACCCGGCAGGACCATGTTTACCCACCCCGCTCCTGCCGGACGCCCGTGTACGCGCCAGGTGTGCAGTGCCTCTCCCAGTGAAGGTCCAACAGCCTTCAGAGGTGGCTTAGGTGGCATGAAGAGATTTTTCCTTCCCTGCAATCTGAATTTCCCCTGCTATGTGTGGTCCACTCTATTTTTCTTATCTCCAGTGGGATGGAGAAGAGCTTCATACCTTCCACTCTGCAGGAAGCTTTTAGATATTTGAAGGCTTATCGGTTAGTCTTCTCTAAGACAACTTCCTACTCTCTTCCCTGCTTTAAACATCCTTGTATGATATTTATGCGCTAATTAACAGCCACTACTCAGCTCATGGCTTCTTGCTTCTTCCTCTTGCTATCCATAGAGCATCCTGTGCTAAAGCTCCCTCATTAAAAGGTCGAAGGGAAATGCTGAACACACTCTACATTCACAGACTGATTACTGAGCACGGTTACGATGAGCAAGTTTCACTGTGACTCTGCACGCTGCAAAGAGCATGGCTGAGAAAAGGAGCCTGACCACACGGCGTTAGTACTGGCAGCCTCCTCTCGTGTGAGCCCTGGCCCCGCGCAGACCAAGGTTCTGGTGAAGTTACTCTGTTATTCTTACCCAAGATGCAGGAAGAGTGCGTGAAGGGCCCGTCACTGGAGTACAGACCGTAAGTGCCCAAGTAAGGAGAAACCACTTTCTGGATCAGGGATTCCAGTTTCAAATAATCTTCAGTCACACCTTTCGACTCGTGAACCCCCTGAAAGAGAAAAACCACCCAAGGTGAGCACTGTCCCCTCCAACCACCAGCTTCCCTTGCTCACCGGGGCAAGCAGGGAGCCGTGAGCGTGTTCAGTGACACAGCGAAGGCGCCGTGGTGGGACACTGGTTTGTTCCTACAGCTGATTCCTCTCCCTGTAAGGCCAGAAAATGGGAGTCGAACCAGAGAGACTGGCCAGGGAGGACGGAGGATGCGGTCTGTGAAAATGAATTAAAACCAACCCTGGACTTTTTGTTAACGCAACCTTCCAACTTCCTGAGCGAGCTACCGCCGCCTGCTGCACCAGCGGCCGGGACCACAGGGTGTCACTGCCATCTAAGCCATACCGACGGGGTTAAGAAAAAGCTGGAACTGAGACTTAGAAATCTTCCGGGATATTTCCAACAAGAAATATTTACAGTGAAGAGGTTTGTATCTCTTTCCTCATCCTCTCCCAGGCACCTGCCACTACCCAGGCAGAAGTCACCTTATAACTAGCATGGTAAAATTCACCCATAGGCAAAATCGTTTGCCCTTAGCTGTTAGCTCTGCACTTCTACACACAAAGGGGCTTACAAGGCTGCGGAGGTTGCAGGAAAACCCCGGGGAGCTGTAGTCTCCTATTTACAGCTGCAATGTGTGCTCCTGCCTGGTCTGAGAGCCCCCTATGCTCCTGTGTAGGGTTCCTCTTGCAAAGTAAATTCCTGTTTTAGTGTGTGGCTATGTGGCTGTGTGTTTGACCTGTCTTGTGGCAGAAGGAAGATCCTAAATGTCATCCTCAGCAAGAAGGCTGCTTGAATTTAGCAAAACTCCAGATTTCATAATATATCCCTGAATTACTGTAAAAAAGAAACCTGTTGGGATGAAAGCCTCCAGAGAGCGATATGCAGATCAAATGAGTAAAACTGCAACATTTCCTTCAGCCTGTGGAAGGATCCCGATGTTCCAGGGGTATCTGCTGCTCGGTGTGATTCACCAACCGGTGTCTACGGGTGACTATCAGCCTGCAAAGTGTTTGTGAATGCCTGACTTCACCTCCTGGCTGCTGCGCTGACTTGAACACCGCCTGGCCTTACGTGATAAAAAGTTATAAATGGAAAATAACAGAGAAGGGGCAGAATTTGGATTCCAATTCTGCAGGCTTTAAAATAATGAATGAAAATCTTTGGGGATGCGCTATGTCCTGTAAAACTTCGGGAGAATCACAAATCCGAATAAGAACCCAAGGGTATATGCAGTGAATCTGAAAGCTTGCAAACACCAAAGTAACAGCAGAATGAGCCCATAGTTGTTCAACTCATTTAACCCAGACAAAAATCACACAGCAATAGTTCAGAAGACTTAGTGAAGGTGCATGTATTATTTCCAAGTCATCGTTGGCCTCTATCAGAGAAAACATTTCAAATAACAGGAGGAAGAGTCTCAATTTTTGTTGCGCTGCTCCAGGGTTTCCCCTCATGTCTTGCTGGGATTTAGCCAAGATCATCCAGGCCAACCATTAATCTAACATTGACAGTTCTCAACTACACCCTATCCTTAAGTGCTATGTCAACCCTAAATATATATAATATTATAGATTATATAACGCTAGTGACAAAAGCCAGGGATATTTAGCATTGCCCATGCCCAGACTTTGCAGTAAGGCTTTATTTACTCTTCTGCCGTTTAAGTGGTTTTGGTACATGTGAAGGAGGGTGGTTTAATATCAGCTGTGGAGAACGAAACCCAGTAATTCACTAGTACCACACTGCCCACGAAATAGCTCTTATCACCAGCAGAACTGCGACGCTGTATGAGTGATAAAAGTGTCCTTGCCCAGTGGCATCTTAACACTGATTTCCTACCAGCCTTACATACCTGAAAAGTTCTGATTTTCCTAGACTGGCTCTGAGGAAGGATTTCTGTGCAGAAGGGGCTGTTGGGCGTTGGAATGGGCTGCCCAGGGCAGGGGGGAGTCCCCGGGATCCCTGGAGGGGTTGAAGAGTCGGGCTGAGCCAGCGCTGAGGGGTCTGGGGGAGTTGGGAACGGTCAGGGGGAGGGTCATGGTTGGGCTGGAGGAGCTGCAGGGGCTTTGCCAACCCAGATGGTTCTGCGATTCTGGGATTCTTCTGGTTTCCCTCTTGGCTGTGAACGATCTGTTCAGCTATACGCTCCTTCTCCCCTGACGAACGCCTCAGAAGCCCAAGCTGTGTTCCGCACTGACTGCTGCCCTGGCAGGGATACACGGAGGCTTCCAGCAGCGTTCCTGGGTTGGGGTGGGCTCCTGGGTTGAGCTGACAGGATGGAGACTTGACCCTCAAGCTCCAGCTGCTGTGACATCCCCCCGTCACGGGGCTGGGGAGCAGCTGTGCTGGGGCACAGACTCACCTCGTCCCCACCACTGCTGCCCTGCAGATGCTGTTCCTGAGGGACAATCTCTTCTCTCAGAATCCCAACTCCCTAACCACTTGCATCAGCTGCTTCTTCAGTCTTGCCCTCAGCCTTCACTCCCACTCTCCCAAGAGCGGTGCTAATCTCTACCCCCCTTCTCACTTCAACCTCTTTTAATTCCCAGCCTTTGAAGCGAAGAGGCCACAAAATACCACCTTTACAGCCTAAAACCACCCAGTATTAACCCAGCCCGCCATGGGTCTCATTCCTCAGCTCTGGGATCACCCACGGGATGCTTTTCAAAACATACTGAAAAGTCATAAACCATCTGGCATCCGCTGGAGCTGCGGGGACTCCTCTTCTGCTCTGCACCTTGGCACAAACGTGCCGTGTCCACCTGCGACATCCTTCCTGCGTGGGCCATTGTTCCAGGCCTTCCTGCAGGCACCCGATAGGGCAGTTCCTTTAAACCATTTTCTCCGTGTGGAGCTTCTGTGAGAGCAGGAGCGTAACAGGCTGCAGACCATGTCCTGAACTTGTGAAAGAATGTTTTTCCTGCATTTCTTTCTGCTGTGTTATTCATTGACCAACATCCTCTATTTAACCAAATACTAGTACAGCCCAATATTCAGTAAGGTCTACCTCAGATTTCCAAACCTAAACTTTCCGTATGACCTGAATGACACCATCACTTATTTACGAGTGGCCGAGAGGAGTGTCTGCAGGCTCAGAGCAAGCTGGGGCCACCTCTGCCTGGCCACAGCCCCTGCCCGGGGGCAGAGCAGCACCACGCTGCCGTCACTGCGTGACACAAAGCCAAATGTCCCCTGACCCAGAGCCAGCTGGGTCAACATGACACGTCTGGGAAGTGTCCTGGCCCCAAGGTCTGGGCTCAGGCTGTCAGAGGTTGGCTCACAGGGTGGAAGGCAGCCCCTGCTCCTCTTCGTGAGCTTTTAGGACCACGGCCCAGGAAGAAGGGAGCTGCATGTTCATCAGCGCACAGCAGGTTAGCTGAGACCCACCAAAGGCGGTTAACGGGGCAGGGACACCCCACAACCCTACTGAGGAAGTGAGGCTTTCCAATTCCGCAGTTCTTCCAATTTCACTTCTTTAGAGAAGCCCAGGCATGGCTGGTGCAGCTGAAGAACAGCCAGAGGGGGCCTTGCTGTGGCACTATCTATACGCAAATATATCTATCTCTATGTAAATACAGATCAATAGAAAGACATGTATAGACACCCCTACATCTATCACCATGGACATCTATATGTACTCAAAGACATATTTTAGACCCTTTCCCAAATCTGTAAGTCATTGTGCTTATAAAGGCAAAAATTAGCTTTAGAGTAAAGCCAGCTTGGGGTTGTTATCTGTGTCATGATAGAAAAATTGACGGCAGGACTTAAAAGTCACCAATAGAATAACAGAAAAAAGTATTTTCCTGCTATTTTGGCAGCTCATGGTTCTTGTATTTACTGCTTGATGCCTTACTAGTTTGGTATGTCGTTATACAGCAATAAGGCAAAAGTCCCATCTAGCAGGCTGGCTGCTTAGCTTGCAGGAAGCTATATCATAATTTGGGGAAAAAAAAGAAAACTTGGAGCATTATCAGTAAAACAGAGACTCTACCCTTATCTTGAATGCAATATTTGCTCTGCAGACATGCAAAAATTTCCTTTAAAAGATAACTGTGACCTTTCATGAACCCAATTTCATTTTAGCAGAGGAGTTTCATGCTTCCCTGCAAATGTGAGATGTATCTATTAAATTCCTTTCAGAGGCCTTGCCTGACCTATTTATTTCTCAATTGAGGGCCAAAATAGCTCAATATCAAATAACTGCAAGTACCTCAGTACTTCTGGAGCAGTGTAGCTGCTGGATCAAATCCTCATCTTGGTCCCACTGTTTTGAAATGCAACAGGAGTCACCTCATTATCTTTGGGAGGATTATAATGTAATATTATGACAAGAGTCTGCCCTACTCTCAAGGCCTGGATAATGGGGATCTGAGTCCTGAATATGTGAATACCACTGCAGATGGAAAAGGCCTGTGCTCAGCATCGGGAGCAGAGATGTGTATTTCTGAATGTGCCGCAGTAGCCGAGTCCCTCCCTTCAGTAACCTGTAATTAAATAATTTAGCAAGAGAGAATTCTATAAAAAGCATTAAAAGGACCCCATGCGCTGCTGGTTTCGATCTGTAAATCTGTAAGTGCTCCCAGAAGGGCCATGCGCCCCAAAGACTGAGGTAGCGGCTCTCTGAAGTTCTGGCCCCGTGCGCTGGAGCAGGGCCCCGGCCGCGTGCGTGTCCCCCGCTGCGGCGCTCCAGAGTGTTGCTGGAACGAACCACTCCCTGTGTTTGGGAACAAAACCCCACGAGTCAAACCCAGAAGTCAGCGAGAACGGACATTTCCATCCCTGTTAATTCCGTAAGTTAACCACAAGCTCTGACTGAGTTTTGAAAGGGCACGAGGGCTTCTTGTGAAAGCACAGAGGATGGAATAAATGCATCTTCTGGCACTGCTAATAGACGTGTTGAGAAGAGCAGCTGAGGGGTTTGTAACCCCATGTAAGGCCACAGATTACGTTTCCAATACACAGGACTTCTCTAAGCCTCCAAGTGGTCCTAAA